GCAATGGTCTTGTTGCCCATTCCAGCCTTGTGTAGGTCTACAATCTTGTCCCTGACATCCTTGGAGAGCTCTTTTGTCTTGGTCATGGTGGAGAGCTTGGAATCAGATTGATTGATTGCTTCTGTGGACAGGTGTCTTTTATACAGGTAACGAGCTGAGATTAGGAGCACACTCTTAAAGGGAGTGCTCCTAATCTCAGCTCGTTACCTGTATAAAAGATACCTGGGAGCCAGAAAAATCTTTCTGATTGAGAGGGGTCAAATACATATTTCCCTCATTAAAATGCAAATCAATTCCTAACATTTTTGACATGCGTTTTTCTGGATTTTTGTTGTTGTTATTCTGTCTCTCACTGTTCAATAAACCTACCATTAAAATTATAGACTGATCATTTCTTTGTCAGTGGGCAAACGTACAAAATCAGCAGGGGATTAAATACTTTTTTCCCTCACTGTATATGTAGTGGTAGGCTTGGCCACGATCGCCACTACTCGTAACCGGCAGTACTCGCTGAGGCCAGTAGAGAGCAGAAGGGAGGCCGGACCTGCTCAACAGGACCGTAAATTTCAGATAGCCCGCACCTCCATCTACCCCGCATACATTCATATCTTTAACGTCGTTACCGCAGCTTAATTCCATCATATGAATACAAAGTTTACATTTGTAATACATTCCACTATCAATTGTTAACATTGCAATTATAACGTGCACAAATAAAACAAACTAACCAGAAACGAGTGAACTTAAAACAGTAAATAAGTAGCAAAAGTAAATATCCAATAAATAAGTAACACACAACTGGTAGATAAGTAAGTAAGCGTTGTTTCAAACTTCCAGTGGCTTTGTTGCCAGGAGGCAATGGCGTTACCGTAGTGCCGCTACTGGACCGGTAGTTACCCCTGTACAGTTTTAGCACTGGTAGATTGCGCACTGCGCAGACAATAGCGGCACTACGGTAACGCCATTGCCTCCTGGCAACAACGCCATTGGAAGTTTGAAACAAAGCTCATGGTCGCGACTGTATAGTGCTCAGCCAATAGCAGCGGTCTAAGGGACTCAGCAATTAATTCCGCGTCTGGTAGACGCTTGTTAAGGCCCTTCCCATTGTGCAATCCATAGCCTCAGCTGAAACTTTCGCACCCCCCAACAGCCACTGAAAGTATTACGGTAAACAAAGTGCGCCCACTTCAAACATTGTCGTTTAATTGTACAATGCGAATAATTAAAAACGTGATAACACGTGCAATTTTAGTGTGAGTGGTTTATTCAGCAGTGTTTTAGTCAAAGGTAAGTGTTGAATAGTGGATAGTCCTACCATGAAAAAAATTAAACGAGTTATGACATATCACACGCGTAAAATATTTTTGGGATAGCCCACACCTCCATATACCCCGCAGGGTCTTGTTTTGTTTGTAAAAAGTGGTATTCCCCGCGGGTTATATGCGGGAAAATACGATAATGATGGGCAGTTGGCCCTAGGCAATCCCTGGGGGGAGCATCGGTACCTGATGGGATGTCTTGTGACCCCCTGATGAATGAATCCCTGACATTGTTGTACCTTTGCGTATTCATTTCTGTTTTAAATTAACCTTACTTTAAACAAATATTAGCTTTTAGAGAATTAAATGGTGGGTCACAAGACCTCTGAACCACCCTTTACAGTAAATAATGTTAGTAGTATTGCTTCAGCAAAACTCTGGGGCCGTTTTCGACATTCTCATCATCATCAGCAGAGTCAGGCTCGCTTCAACTGATGCCGGTGAACGGCCCAGACGTTCATAGGCAAGGGGTCAGAGTTTAACACAAACCCGCATAATACTCAACACCACATAATACACTACACCGCATAATACACACCACTGCATAATACACAACACCGCATAACACACAATGCAACATCGCATGATACACAACACAAAACCGCATAATACACAACCCAAACCCGCATAATACACAACACAACACCGCATAATACACAACACAACACCGCATAATACACAAGACAACACCGCATAATACACAACACAACACCGCATAATACACAACACAACACCGCAAAATACACAACAAAATCATTAGGCGTCGTTGCAGGGAAAATAAAAAGCAATTTATAACCGCAGATAAGCAGACAAAATGTCAATTCACAATATCTGTCTCTCCGCATCAACAGAAGTTCAACATGCAAGCTACTCTCTTACAACGCCGCGTGTTGTTTTCATGACGAGAATATGAAAGAACACGATGAATGTGTTAGGGAGCGCATTACTTTTATAACGCGGATGCGAATTGGATAAAACGCGATTGAGTGAACAGAACTACGTTGGAATAAACGGTCGTAAGGTTGCCCTCGGCGTTGCATCGCGCAGGGCGGGATGCTGCTGGATGTTTCTGAATGCTACCCAAGCGCCTCGGTCTATGTCCGGCCTGCGTACGCAAACTCACGTATTATACGCGGACTGTGCCTTACGCCCATTATATTATTTATTATAACGCGATTTCCCCGTGAAGCGGCGTCCTTCAGGAAAGCAACTACAGCCACGTGGCAGGAGAACAAACGAAATAGACAAAGTATTCTTGACACATCATCGCACCAGCACCAATCTGTACCAAGCTGTTCTCGAGGGGGGCCACACGCGTTAAGGACGAGTCGTTGGTACGCACCGCATTCGCTGCCACGCGCGCTTGGGAACAGCGGCACATGTCGTCTGACGAAGCGAGCGTCCGCTGACCCTTACCTTGACCTCCGGTGGGTGTTGTGTGTTGCGTTCCACCTCGGCGAGGTGGCGTGGGATGGATGGAACAAGCGAATCGGGATGTTAACCATTTCTATTTGACCAGATAAGGGCCCACCGACCTTTAGAGCTCTTTGTCAGAAGTGACCTGGCCACAAGTGGATAGCGAGACGAAGTGGCTTCTCATCATCGTGTGGAAATGTACAGCGGCCAAACACTCTGAACGCATGGTGATGTTGATTACAAATGTGAAGGCGAAAAACCGGAGGACCCCGGAGCAAAAAAAAATTCACGCAACCACGGGGAGAGAGAGAGAGACGCCACAAACTCCAAATACACAACAGCAGCAGGCGTCAGGGTCGGTATCTCACCCACGATCTCCTGCATACCAGGCGAGGTAGTTAACATCTCATAGCCACCGCAGCGCCTGAATATACGAATCTCCCCCCCGCAATGAGTAGTTGAGTTACATCGCCTAATCTAACTAGTTATGCAATGATCAACTATTTGAATCAGATGTTTACAGTTCGAATTGTGAGCAATATTTTTTATTGCAATGATGAAATTCGATCTCCCGGTGCGGCAGTTGAAACAATGGGGGCAACGTTTTCTGAAGCCAACCTCCCAGCTCTGCCTCTGCTCAGCCAGCAGTGGAGAAGGTTCCGACCCTCGCTGAGTCCATGGGCATGTCGCCCAGTGGCGGGGTAAAGTGTGGCTACTCTCGTCTCTCCCCAAGACGTCCGGCCGGTATGCAAGAGTAGGTCAAATACCGTGATCTCGAGCGGTGATAATCATCGTCGTCAGCATCATCATCATCATCAATCCACGGCAGTAGATTGATGATGATGATGCTGATGAATGCGGCTATGAGGTTGAACGTCACAATTTGGCGAACGCCATCCGCTTGCCCGCGCCATTCTGCGGAGCCCCCATGCTGTGCCTCTTGGAGGAGCTGCTTCGTGACCGTTATTAAGGGAACCGTCTCGTATTAAACCACCTGCCATTGGTGCCCCCCTCCCCCCCGTTAGAGCGGCACGTCAGCTGCTGAGGAGCCGTCCATAAATGACGTCACACGATTTTGGACGATTTTTGACCCCCCTCCCTCACACAGCGTCACAAAAAATCAGACCCCCCCCTCAAATGACGTCACAACGCTCTGCCCCCCCCCAAAAAAACACATTTCCATTTTGAAAATAACACATGCTTCAAATCGCTTTCAACTATTGTCATTATTGTGCGTATTTAATGTGGCGCTGCACTCTGATGTTGTAGGAGAAAACATTTATTTAAAAAAAGTCTATTTAATTAAGTAGAACGTGTTGTCTATATTTATTTAAGGTTGCGCATTTTGATGTGACGTCACATTTCTCCCCCCCCCTCGTCACACATCGTCACAAATGTCTGACTCCTCCCCCCCCCCTAGGTGCTTGACGTCATTCATGGACGGCCCCTGATAAGTGCAGATAAAGACGAGGAAAGTGGCAAATTATTCAACCCCATCTGCACAATTGCGATATATAATCACCAGTTCAATCCCACTCCACTCTGGACCCCACTCCACGCAGAAACCCGCTGCAGTAAGAACCCGCTAAAATTTGTGTTTTCTCTGTTGTTTCGTCATTTTCTGATACTGGCAAAAAAGGTGCCACAGATATAACTGCTCGACCCGAGCTCGCACGTGTTGTGATACTTGCAATGTCCTTGCAGTGTTCGCCTACCGGCGTTCTCTGGTCTGACACTGGTGAGTGAGACTGCCGTAAAGAATGTTGTCTCTGGTGCAAAGTCAATCATCTTTCAAAGACTATGCATCTATTAGGAACAGAGTATGTTTGTTTGCATGTTTTTTTGTTGTTCCACGAGTAGGTGTGGTTAATGCAGACTTGGTGCCTTGAAATAGGCTATTTGGCGTTTACGCATGTGTAACACGTTGTTCATGGACTCCTCCTCTCACCACCGGGAAATGTGGCAGCTGTGTCACGGAGTGAACTGCTTCGACAAATAACGTCAAATCACCGTCGTTATCATCATCATCAGCAGCAGCAGCATCATTTTCATCACCAGCAGTAGCATCTGCAGCAACAATGTCGTCCCCTCCAGCTTCCATCACCGTCAGCATCACGACCTCCATCACCGTTGGCGTCATCAACGGCGGTGTACGGCCCCAGTTTATTGACGGATGGGTGACAGATAAGGGCTTTAGCACTGGGGGTGGTGGGCCAGGCGAGGGGTGGAGTCACAACCACCTCCTCTCTCCTCCTCGTCTCCCAGCTTCTATAAGAAGGCCCTGGATGGGGAGGAACTCGCCGACTTGAGACGAGACTCGGACAAGATGCTCGCCCTCATCGCCTCCGTGATCCTCCTGGTGCAGGGTGGGTGTCACCATCATCGTCGTCGTCATCACCATCGTCGTTATCACAGTTGTCATCGTCGTTGTCATCATCGTCATAATCACCGTCGTCATCATCATCCGATTCACGGTGGCAAAGCTCCTGTGCCTGGGTTCGTTTCCCCGACTTGGGCACCTTTCTGTGTGACATCTGTGTGTTGTGTGTGTGAGATTTGTGTGTGTGTCGTGTGTTCTCTGTGTGTTGTGTGTTCTGTGTGTGTTGTGTGAGATCTGTGTGTGTCGTGTGTTCTATGTTGTGTGTGTGAGATGTGTGTGTAGTGTGTTCTGTGTTGTGTGTGTGAGATTTGTGTGTGTCGTGTGTGTGTGTGAGATTTGTGTGTGTCGTGTGTGTCGTGTGTTCTGTGTTGTGTGTGTGAGATCTGTGTGTGTAGTGTGACATCTGTGTGTTGTGTGTGTGAGATCTGTGTGTGTCGTGTGTTCTGTGTTGTGTGTGTGAGATCTGTATGTGTAGTGTGACATCTGTGTGTTGTGTGTGTGAGATCTGTGTGTGTAGTGTGTTCTGTGTTGTGTGTGTGAGATCTGTGTGTGTAGTGTGTTCTGTGTTGTGTGTGAGATCTGTGTGTGTAGTGTGACATCTGTGTGTTGTGTGTGTGAGATCTGTGTGTGTCGTGTGTTCTGTGTTGTGTGTGAGATCTGTGTGTGTAGTGTGACATCTGTGTGTTGTGTGTGTGAGATCTGTGTGTGTCGTGTGTTCTGTGTTGTGTGTGTGTGAGATCTGTGTGTGTAGTGTGTTCTTTGTTGTGTGTGTGAGATCTGTGTGTGTAGTGTGACATCTGTGTGTTGTGTGTGTGAGATCTGTGTGTGTAGTGTGTTCTGTGTTGTGTGTATGAGATCTGTGTGTGTTGTGTGTTCTGTGTGTGTGTTGTGTGTGTGTTCTGTGTGTGTGTTGTGTGTGTGTTCTGTGTGTGTGTGGTGTGCTCTGTGTGTGTAGTGTGTGAGATATGTGTGTGTCGTGTGTGTGTTGTGTGTTCTGTGTATGTTGTGTGTTCTGTGTGTGTTGTGTGTTCTGTGTGTGTTGTATGTTCTGTGTGTGTTGTGTGCTGTGTGTTGTGTGTTCTGTGTGTGTGAGATCTGTGTGTGTTGTATGTTCTGTGTGTGTTGTGTGTTCTGTGTGTGTTCTGTGTGTGTTGTATGTTATGTGTGTGTTGTGTGCTGTGTGTTCTGTGTGTGTGTGAGATCTGTGTGTGTTGTGTGTTCTGTGTGTGTTGTGTGTTCTGTGTGTGTGTGAGATCTGTGTGTGTTGTGTGTTCTGTGTGAGATCTGTGTGTGTCCTGTGTTCTGTGTGTGTTGTGTAAGATCTGTGTGTGTTGTGTTGGGTGTGAAATCTGTGCGTGTTGTGTGTGTGTGTTATGTGTGAGATCTGTGTGTGTGTCGTGTGTTCTTGTGTGTGTTGTGTATTCTGTGTGTGTGTTGTTTGTGAGATCTCTGTGTGTTCTGTGTGTGTTGTGTGTGAGATCTGTGTGTGTGTTGTGTGTTCTTTGTGTGTTGTGTGTGAGATCTGTGTGTGTTGTGTGTGTGTTGTGTGTGAGATCTGTGTGTGTTGTGTGTATGTTGTGTGTGAGATATGTGTGTGTGTTGTGTGTTCTGTGTGTTGTGTGTGAGATCTGTGTGTGTGTTGTGTGTGAGATCTGTGTGTGTGTTGTGTGTTCTGTATGTGTGTTGTGTGTTCTGTGTGTTGTGTGTGTGTTCTCTGTGTGTGTTGTGTGTTCTGTGTGTGTGTTTCGTGTGTGTGTTGTGTGTTCTCCCCCTGCTCTTTATGGATTTCCTTCGGGTTCTCCGGTTTTCCTCCAATAGCTCCCCCATACAACGTACCTGGTACTTTATTGGCCAAAACATCCCAGTGCTGAAAAGTTACCTGCGAATTACTCAATTGGGATTGTGCTGTGAGAGAGACGAGAGCACTGACGCCCACTGAGGCATTCCAATACGACCGTTGTCATAATCACCACGAGGATACTCAATCATCGAGCCTCCCCATGTCTCCACGTGTCTCTATCTCCATGTCCCCCTCCCACTCTGTCCTCTCGTCTCTCCTCCCCATGTCTCCACGTGTCTCTATCTCCGTGTCCCCCTTCCCCCCCAACTCTGTCCCCTCGTCCCTCCTCCCCATGTCTCCTCCTCGTGTCTTCCTATGTCCACAAAAGACGGCGGTCACCGCATCGCGCAGCGCTTTCAGATGCGCTTCCGCGGCCGTCTGGAACGCCGCTCTTCCGATATTAGCAAGCCACTGGAGCTATGCACTTTTACATCATCTAGATTGACAAACTAATTTCTCTAGAGAACTGCTTTTTGTTTAGTTTGTTGTCCTTCCCCCGCACCTCCAATTAGCGCGGTTGGCTACGTACGGAGAGAAAGTGGCTCAATATACACAAGTCTTCCCCGTGTCTCCTCGTGTCCCTCCGTGTCCGCCCACGTCTCATCGCGTCTCCCTATTAGTCCCCCCGCGTCTCCCCGCGTGTCGTCTCTCCATGTCTAACCACCTCCTGGTGTCTCCCCCATGTTGCCCCATGACTCCCCGTGTCTCCCCATGCGTCTCTCCATGTCTAACCACCTCTCCCCCCCGCGTGTCTCTGCACAGCGACCGCCCAGGGCTGCGGGGTGCCCAGCTACCCCCCCATCGAGAGCCGCGTGGTCAATGGAGTGGAGGCGAGACCCAACAGTTGGCCCTGGCAGGTTCGTGTCTCGGTCCTGGCTCCCCACGCGAACAGCCCCGGGTTTTACCCTCGCGGGGATTTGCGCTCAATCCCAGGGGCCCGCTCCACGCCACCCCCCCCCCCACCCACCCGAGCAATCCCGATCGCGGAAAACCAGATCACTCTCCAAGTTACCGCTCGAACTGCCGTTGCCCGCGACTCGCTCCACCCGCGACTCGCTCCACCCACGACTCGCTCCACCCGCGGCTCGCTCCACCCGTGACTCGCTCCACCCGTGGCTCGTTCCACCCGCGACTCGCTCCACCCGCGACTCGCTCCACCCGCGACTCGCTCCACCCGCGGCTCGCTTCACCCGCGGCTCGCTCCACCCGCACACGACGGCGAGCGGTCGCTCTGCCCCGCGGGGTGGCGTCCTGGGTTGTTGGCTCGAGCGGCACCCGCCCGGCCATCCGGCCGGCCCATCGCATAGGCGCAAGCGGTGGCGCTCGCCGATCCGAGCACCGTCCGGGCGCCGTGAAACTCCTCGCTCGCCCTTCTCCATGAGATCGGGGGGGGTTGGGCGGTGGGGTAATGGAGTGAAACAATGGGGGGAGAGGATTTCTCCACAATTTTGGGTTGTCGCCTGGATGTTGCTGGCGAAAGCCCGACTGCTACTACTACGATGTGTTAAACTGTAACAGAGAGTTGACACCTGCATGAGATGGATTTATTGTTATTGTTGTTGTTATGACGGTGGTTTCGCTTGTTTACCCGGCAAAGCCTCAGCGAGTCTCAAGACTCATCTTCAGGAGGGTCCTGCTAAGCATAACTTGCTGCTGCTGTGGCTGCGGCTGCTGCTGCTGTTGCTGCTGCTTGTGTAGATTCCAATTTGAATGATTTGCCAAGGGTAATTTTTGTTACATTTGGCAAATTGGGGACCATAACGCCGGCACGCTACACTGCTGGTGCGTGCCGGCGTCACGGCATCTTTAACGTCGACCGCGAGCATACTAGTAGTAGTAGTACCGCAGTTTACACAAAGACACGGGGGTATTAACCGGGGCGGCCGCTTGGAATTCGAACCGTGAACCTCCACAACAGCAAGCGGTGACTGCGGTCACCGCCAGGCCGTGCCGGCCGAGGGAGCGGCCCCAGCCGAGACAGCGGCCCCAGCCGCTCAGGGGCAGGAAGACGGCGTCGCGACAATCGTGCCGAGAGTAACCGCTGCCATTCTCGTGTTATGGTGGCGCTTGTGTTGGTGGCTGTGGTCGTCTGTTGTTGTTGTGGTTGATGAGATTACGGTTGTAGTGGTTGATGTGGACGTGGTTGATGTAGTTGTGGTTGTTGTGGTTGTGTTTTGTTGGTGTACTTTGATGAGATTACAGTTGTGGTTGATGTGGTTGTTGTGGTTAATGGGGTTGTGGTGGTCGTGGTTGACGTGGTTTGTTGTGGTTGTGGCTGCTGTAGATCTCCCTGCAGTACCTGTCTAGCGGGTCCTGGTACCACACGTGCGGTGGGACCCTGATCGACCCCCAGTGGGTGCTCACGGCGGCCCACTGCATCTCGTGAGTTCCACCACCACCACCTAATCATCACCACCACCTCATCATCACCACCACCTCATCATCATCACCACCTCATCATCACCACCACATCATCTTTACCACCACCTCATCATTACCACCACCTCATCATCATTGCCACCTCATCATCACCACCACCACCAACATCTCTAGCAGCAGCACCTCACTAAACATCACGAGGAGCCATCATCTCATCAACATCACGAGGAGCCATCATCTCACCACATCACGAGGAGCCATCATCTCATCAACATCACGAGGGGCCATCATCTCACTAACGTCACGAGGAGCCATCATCTTACCAACATCACGAGGAGCCATCATCTCATCAACATCACGAGGAGCCATCATCTCATCAACATCACGAGGGGCCATCATCTCACTAACATCACCAGGAGCCATCATCTCACCAACATCACGAGGGGCCATCATCTCACTAACGTCACGAGGAGCCATCATCTCATCAACATCACGAGGGGCCATCATCTCACTAACATCACCAGGAGCCATCATCTCACCAACATCACGAGGAGCCATCATCTCACCAACATCACGAGGAGCCATCATCTCACCAGCATCACGAGGAGCCATCATCTCAATAACATCACGAGGAGCCATCATCTCACCAACATCACCAGGAGCCATCATCTCACCAACATCACGAGGAGCCATCATCTCACGAACATCACGAGGAGCCATCATCTCACCAACGTCACGAGGAGCCATCATCTCACCAACATCACCAGGAGCCATCATCTCACCAACATCACGAGGAGCCATCATCTCACGAACATCACGAGGAGCCATCATCTCACCAACATCACGAGGAGCCATCATCTCATCAATATCACGAGGAGCCATCATCTCACCAACATCACGAGGAGCCATCATCTCACCAGCATCATGAGGGGCCATCATCTCACTAACATCACGAGGGGCCATCATCTCACCAACATAACGAGGAGCCATCATCTCACTAACATCACGAGGAGCCATCATCTCACCAACATCACGAGGAGCCATCATCTCATCAACATTACGAGGAGCCATCATCTCACCAACATCACGAGGAGCCATCATCTCACCAACAACACGAGGAGCCATCATCTCACCAACATCACGAGGGGCCATCATCTCACCAACATCACGAGGAGCCATCATCTCACCAACATCACGAGGGGCCATCATCTCACTAATATCACGAGGAGCCATCATCTCACCAACATCACGAGGAGCCATCATCTCACCAACATCACGAGGAGCCGTCATCTCATCAACATCACGAAGGGCCATCATCTCATCAACGTCACGAGGAGCCATCATCTCACCAACATCTCTAGCAGCAGCATCTCACCAACATCACGAGGAGCCATCATCTCATCAACATCACGAGGAGCCATCATCTCGCTAACATCACGAGGAGCCATCATCTCACCAACATCACGAGGAGCCATCATCTCACCAACATCACGAGGAGCCATCATCTCATCAACATCACGAGGAGCCATCATCTCACTAACATCACCAGGAGCCATCATCTCACCAACATCACGAGGAGCCATCATCTCATCAACATCACGAGGAGCCATCATCTCACTAACATCACCAGGAGCCATCATCTCACCAACATCACGAGGAGCCATCATCTCATCAACATCACGAGGAGCCATCATCTCACCAACATCACGAGGAGCCATCATCTCATCAACATCACGAGGAGCCATCATCTCACCAACATCACGAGGAGCCATCATCTCACCAACATCACGAGGGGCCATCATCTCATCAACGTCACGAGGAGCCATCATCTCACCAACATCACGAGGAGCCATCATCTCACCAACATCACGAGGAGCCATCATCTCACTAACATCACGAGGGGCCATCATCTCACTAATATCACGAGGAGCCATCATCTCACCAACATCACGAGGGGCCATCATCTCACCAACATCACGAGGAGCCGTCATCTCATTAACATCACGAAGGGCCATCATCTCATCAACGTCACGAGGAGCCATCATCTCACCAACATCACGCGGAGCCATCATCTCACCAACATCACGAGGAGCCATCATCTCACCAACATCACGAGGAGCCATCATCTCATCAACGTCACGAGGGGCCACCATCTCATCAACGTCACGAGGAGCCATCATCTCACCAACATCTCTAGCAGCAGCATCTCACCAACATCACGAGGAGCCATCATCTCATCAACATCACGAGGAGCCATCATCTCACCAACATCACGAGGAGCCATCATCTCACCAACATCACGAGGGGCCATCATCTCACCAACATCACGAGGAGCCATCATCTCATCAACATCACGAGGGGCCATCATCTCACCAACATCACGAGGAGCCATCATCTCATCAACATCACGAGGGGCCATCATCTCACCAACATCACGAGGGGCCATCATGTCACCAACAAGAGCAGCGCCTGCGTTGATTCAGCCTTCGAAATGAGTTCCTGGTGCGGGGTGTAATCATCGCCACCGGGGAGACAAAGGCGGCCGGGTAGGGGTGGCACTGCCCACCCCACCCCCTCGTCATCAGTGTGCCGTGCCACGGTCTGCATAGGAGGTGCCACTCGCTGACAGCACTTGCCCCAACGCATCTGTTGAAGGCTACCCGGGTGGCCTTTGCCTCTGCGTGTGACTGCAGTAGTGCAGCGTGGCCGTAACATGCACCTAGCCTGGCACAAGCGCCGTGATGACGTCCCCGCTACTTAGTGGCGATTGGCGGTTGTTCTAGCGGTTAGCGCGCCGCACTACGAACCCGGCCACCCGAGTTGGATTCCCGCTCACGGCCATCACCAGTGACGAACTAAACCTGTCCCGGGCCTCCCCTAGGTCGACTCAGCCTCAAATGAGTAAACATCGTCGCTGGGAAGACAAAGGCGGTCCGGCGCCGTGCTGGCCACCCACCCCGCTCGTGTGCCGCGCCGGCCTTCATAGGTGCTGTTAGCGAGTAGTCTCCCCGACAGTCCGTGAAGGCTACCCGGGTGACCTTTGTCTGTGTGTCACGTGCGTGGCAGCTCGCGCACGTACCGCGTGGCGCTGGGCGAGCACCTGCTGAGCGTGGCCGAGGGGGGCGAGGTGCAGGTGGACGTGGCGGCCATCCTCGTCCACAGCGGCTGGAACGGGAACAACGTGCAGGGCGGGTTAGTCGCCAGACTCGCTCGCTCACTCGCCCGCTCACTCACTCGCTCACTGACTCACTCACTTACTCGCTGTCTCACTCACTCGCTCACTAACTCGATCGCTCGCTCACTCACTAACTCGATCGCTCGCTCACTCACTGACTCGATGCCTCACTCGCTCACTCACTCACTCGCTCACTGACTTGATGTCTCACTCGCTTACTGACTCGATCGCTCGCTCACTCACTGACTCGCTCGCTCACTCACTCACTGACTCACTGGCTCACTAACTCGATCGCTCGCTCACTCACTGACTCGATGTCTCACTCGCTTACTGACTCGATCGCTCGCTCACTCACTGACTCGCTGTCTCGCGCGCTCACTTACTCACTGACTCGATGTCTCACTCGCTCACTGCCTCACTCGCTCGCTCGCTCACTCACTCGCTCACTGACTCGCTGTCTCACTCGCTCACTAACTCGATCGCTCGCTCACTCACTGACTGGATGTCTCACTCGCTCACTCACTCGCTCACTGACTCGATGTCTCACTCGCTCACTAACTCGATCGCTCGCTCACTCACTGACTGGATGTATCATTCGCTCACTCACTTGCTCACTGACTCGATGACTCACTCGCTTACTGACTCGATCGCTCGCTCACTCACTGACTGGATGTCTCACTCGCTCACTCACTCGCTCACTGACTCGATGTCTCACTCGCTTACTGACTCGATCGCTCGCTCACTCACTGACTGGATGTCTCACTCGCTCACTCACGCATTCGCTCGCTCACTGACTCGATCGCTCACGCACTCGCTCGCTCGTTCACATATTCAATTGTTCTCCTCACTCGCTCACTCCCTGACGCCTGTAAAGGAGTCTCCTCGGGGCTTGGTGACACTTTCCTGGCTGATCAAGTGGATGAATAAGTATCACGTAAATTCACCGAACATTCAGCCGCGTGTCAGACGGTCCGGAGCACGGAACCTTGGGAAGGCGCGACATGACCTCGTGCGCAGATTGTTACACCGCAGGACTGTGGGAGGTGGCGATGTCTTGGGGGAGGACCTCGTCCAGCAGTGGATTGAGCACGGTCGACGACGACAATGCTTGACGTTGCCTCGCCTCCCGTGCCACGGCTGCGTCTCGCACGCAGGAATGACATCGCGCTGATCCGTCTGGCACAGCCCGTGGCCCTGGCTGCCACGATCAAGGCGGCCTGCCTGCCCCCCGCTGGGCTGGTGCTGCCCCACGACTTCCCCTGCTACATCACGGGCTGGGGCCGTCTCGTCAGTGAGGAGACGCGCTCGCTCACCCAACCGATCGCTCACCAAATCGTTCACTAAATCAAAACAGCCACCCACTCACACGATCACCCAACCACTCACTCACCCACCGGGTCACTCACTTAACTCACTCACACACTCACCCGCCGAATCACTCACTTAACTCACTCACACACTCACCCACCGAATCACTCACTTAACTCACTCACACACTCACCCACCGGGTCACTCACTTAACTCACTCACACACTCACCCACCGAATCACTCACTTAACTCACTCACACACTCACCCACCAAATCACTCACTTAACTCACTCACACACTCACCCACCCACCGGGTCACTCACTTAATTCACTCACACTCACCCACCAAATCACTCACTTAACTCACTCACACACTCACCCACCGAATCACTCAGTTAACCATTCACTCACCCAACCACACGTTCACCCACCAAATCACTCACTTAGCCGATCACTCGCCCACCCACCCACCCACTTCCCTAACACAACCACACTTTAACACTCCCTCCGTCTCCCTAGTTCTGCCACACCACCACCACCATCATCATCTCACCTGTGTCCGTCCGTCTCCGGGTGCCCTTCTTCTCCGCTCCTCTCTCTCTCTGTCTCCCTCTCGCTCTGTCCGCCGTAGCCGGGGGGGACCTCCCGGACGCGCTGCAGCAGGCGAACCTGCCCGTGGTGGACTACGAGACCTGCAGCAAGCCCTCGTGGTGGTGGTTCAACGTCCGCGAAACGATGGTCTGCGCCGGCGGGGATGGCTACGACTCCGGCTGCAACGTACGGGGACGCACGGCGCTGTCACCTGCGCGTGTGTGTGCGCGTGTGTGTGTGTACGTGTGCGCGTGTGTGCGTGCGTGTGTGCGCGTGTGTGTGTGTGCGTGTGTGTGTGTGCGTGTGTGTGCGTGCGTGCGTGTGTGTGCGCGCGTGTGTGCGTGCGTGTGTGTGCGTGTATACGTGTGCGCGTGTGTGTGTGCGTGCGTGTGTGTGCGTGCGCGTGTGTGTGTGTGTGCGCGTGTGTGTGTGTGCGTGTGTGTGTGTGCGTGTGTGTGCGTGCGTGCGTGTGTGTGCGTGTGTGTGTGCGTGCGTGTGTGTGCGTGCGCGTGTGTGTATTTGTGGAGAGCGGTGGTGTAGCAGTCAACGCACTGCGCTACGAACCCGGTAACCCGGGTTCGAGTCCTGCTCACGGTCAACACCAGTGACGAATGTCTGAACCCGTAACTGGGCCTCCCCGAGATCGACTCAGCCTCAAATGAGTACCTGATGCGGTGTGTAAACATCGCCACTGGGGAGACAAAGGCGGCCCGGGCGTGGTGCTGGCCACCCACCCCCTCGTGTGCCGTGCCGACCTTCATAGGTGCTCGCTAACAGCACTTGTCCCAACAGTCTGTTAAGGCTACACGAGAGAGCTTTGTCATATTTGTATGTGGAGTGGTAATGTGGCAGTTAGCGCACTGCACTACGAACCCGGTGACCCGAATTCGATTCCCAGCTCACGACCGGACCTCCACCGAGATTGACTCTGCCTCAAATGTGTCGCGATCGCCGAAGAACCACAAGCGAGCTGGAAAAGTCACCGGCCAGGCGGTGAACCGGTGCCACCAGCAAGTGCCCGAGCTCTGCAGTCCTCTCTCAATTTCAAAGATGTCAGCTAATTTGTTTGTTTGTTAAAGAGCACCCGGTGAAAACCGCATTTACACTTTGACTCTGCACCACACCCCTCCCCCATTCTCCCCACTGCCCCCCACCCCCCCCCCCCCCCCGACCCGCCGCAGGGCGACTCCGGGGGCCCCCTGAACTGCGTGAGTGAAGACGGCTCGTGGGCCGTCCACGGCATCGTGAGCTTTGGCTCGGGCCTGGGCTGCAACTCCATCTACAAGCCCACCGTGTTCACCCGCGTCTCCGCTTTCGTCGACTGGATCGCCGACGTGAGCGATCCTCCTGATTCTCTCCCCCACCGCCACCCCCCCCCCCACCTCCATCAGTTCTATCCGATCACATTCTCTGCATAGCTGAACTTAATCGCAGCGTAACAGCGATAATGGGTTGTTGTTGTTGTTGTGCATACGCTCACGGCCAACAGCAGTGACGCTTATCTGAACCCGTTCTGGGCCTCCCCTAGGTGGACTCAGCCTCAAATGAGTGCCTGGTGCGGTGTGCAAAGATGCCAGGATTGGCGCTAGCCACCCACCCACCCCCTCGTGTGGCGTGCTAAGATTCATAGGTGCTTGCTAACAGTACTTTCCCCAACAGTCTATTAAGACCATACGGGGGATCTTTTTGTCTTTGTCGAATCCCAATTAAGTGATCTACGATGCCATTTTCAAATTTCGCCAAATTTGCGCTGTGACGCTGGCACACAATGGCCTGCTCGTTTTGAATTGTGGTCAGTGGATCTTTAATGATAGAGAAGACGATTCATTATTTTGAGATAATACCCAGCATTAACCGGGGCAGCTTCCAGGATTCGAACCGTGAACCTCTGGCAAATCACACCACCGTGAAGCCGGGTCACCGCCCGGCCCATTGTAAAAGCAAGATGATGACAACCGAGAAAACATGTGCAGTAGCATCTCATTCGGGAGAGTGGTTCAAATCGCGCCTTTGATTAGCTATGTTTGGCTACGTACGGTGGGAAAGAAGATCGGACGTCCATACGTACAAATCTGGCCGGCCGCCCTTGTGATTACAAACACGATTCCGCACCGACTGCTACACTCACAGCAATGGACGTCACTGATGATCCCGCGACGTCGTACGTAACAAGTCCGCAGGCCCGTTCTCTGCTGGGTGCCTCGATCTAAATTTGAAATTTTAAACATTGCAGATTACTCGATTGGGATCATGCGCAGCAGCAGCAACATCGCCCCCCCCCTCCTCCCCTCCTGCAAAACCACCGCAGGCAGCGTGCCTGGCGTGAAACACAGCGGCGCCTTCCTTCGCCCCACGCGCTGCTGTTAAGAGCCATCGCGCCGACGCCTCGCGCACTCAGTAATTACGAAGAGTGACAATGCCAAACGCACTGAACTGTGAATAATTATTACCGTGCCCCCCCCCCCACCCCCCTTCACCGCCGCGCCCTGCCCAGGTGATGGACACGTACACGGTGCGTGCCGACGACTCGCAGGTGATCATGTTCCACTGAGGCACCGCGAGGGTCAAGAGGTCATCGCGGTCAATGTTCACGACGACGATTCCGAAGCACCTCGTTCATCATTCCCTCCGTCCCTCCTGCTGGCTGCAGTCGTTCCGACACCAAGAGGTGTCCGGGGGAGCCGGCTGCCGTCAAGGAGCTGAGAAATTCTAGCCGGAGGTGCTCGTGAGCGAACGTCGTGACAACGTCGCGTCGGTAGCGGATCGATTAAAAGTTGAGCCAAGAAAGCGGAGTCGTGCTTTGCCCCTCTGTGTGTGTGTCCTTTTTGGCTTTCGTTTTCGTTAAAGTGTGATGCATGTGCCGTACAGCAGCCAGCTGTGCTCAATCCTAGGTGGGCGAAACGCGATCCATTTTCTCCCATGGAACCAAAAACAGTGAAGTCGAAAACCATAAAATCTCAACAGAATGTACACGTGTCATGTGCATACATAACGTACATACATGAATAATGTACATCCATAATGTACATACATGTTGCTTAACTGTGAATAACCCAACCACAAATCGATATCCATTGTAGTTTATATGAATATATTAACCCCCCTCCCCCGCCTCTGGCTCACATTTACCTCCAGTCTATTTAAGACTGAACCAGGAGGGAGGAATTCTCCACAACTCTGGCTGTCGTCTAATGAGCCTGGTTGTTGTTGTAAATACCGACAAAACGTAATGGCTACACGAATTGTAAATATTGTGGGTTTTGTTAACGTGACAAACCTTACTAATTGGCTTACTAATAACCCAAAAAATATCCCTCATAGATATTAGTCGTGAAAATCCACGTATTAAACACACTACAGTGATTTATTATATGGTCTATAGACTCACACTGCCCATAGACTTACATTGCCCATCGACTAATATTGCCCATACACTCACATTGCCCATAGACTAACATTGCCCTTAGAATTCTATTGACCCTATACTTACATTGCCCATACACTAACATTGCTCTTCTTCCATTATCCAGAGACTTACATTGCTCATAGACTGACATTGCCCATACACTAACATTGCACTTAAACTTCCATTACCCATAGACTCACATTTCCCATAGACCAAAATTGCCCATAGACTTTCATTGCCCATAGACTAACAATGCACAGACTCACATTGCCCATATACTCACATAGACTTACATTGCCCATAGACTTACATTGCCCTTAGACTTCCATTACCCATAGACTTATATTGCCCATATACTAACATTACCCATAGACTAACATTGCCCTTAGACTTCCATTACCCATAGACTTATATTGCCCATAGACTAATATTGCACTTAAACTTCCATTGCCTATAGACTAACATTGCCCATATATCAACATTGCCAATAGTCTCACATTACCCATAGACTCACATTACCCATAGACTAACATTGCCCATAGACTGACATTGTCCGTAGACTCTTATTGCCCATATACTAACATTCTCCATAGACTAGCATTGCCCATAGACACTATGAGACCTCCTTTGCCAGTAGCAAGATATAGTAATAGGTTTTTACCCTTTTATCTAGCACCAAAACTGACTGCTTTATACAAGGCATCATGTTTGCAATAACTACAACACAAGCAGTCAAAATGCAAACAAAAAGAGACAACTCTGATAATAATATGCACTGTCCTTGAAATTGATTGGTCCACACCCGAGATGGCTTTTCTTAGAGCCTAGTCTCCACTGGTGTTGGACCAGATGACGCCAAAAGGCGTACAACTCAAAAACAGCGCACTATCAGAGTATTGAGAGCTAGGGGTAAGCATTTACAATATGAGACCTCCTTTGCCAGTAGCAAGATGTAGTAATAGATTTTTACCCTTTTATCTAAGTTGTACGCCTTTTGGCATCATCTGGTCCAACACCAGTGGAGACTAGGCTCTAAGAAAAGCCGTCTCGGGTGTGGACCAATCAATTTCAAGGACAGTGCATATCATTATCAGAGTTGTCTCTTTTTGTTTGCATTTTGGCTGCTTGTGTTGTGGTTATTGCAAACATGATCCCTTGTATAAAGGTGTCAGTTTTGGTGCCAGATAAAAGGGTAAAAACCTATTATTATTGCCCATAGACTCACATTGTCCATAGACTAACATTGCTCAAAGACTAACATTGCCCATAGACTCACATTGCCCATTGACTCACATTATCCATGAACTCACATTGCACATAAACTCAAATTTCCCATAGACTCACATTGCCCATAGACTGACATCGTCCATAGACCAGTGGTTCTCGGGTTGCATGGTCACAATCGCACTCCTGTGGATCGCGTCTTTTTTCCCATTTAAAACCCGATTATCTGAGCTAATCAAATCTAAATTAGACTATGAATGTGTACGCTATGTGCTATTTACCTGTGTAGAATGGGAAAAAAAATACAGTACAGTGATGTACTCGGTTTCAATGCCCGACGGGTCTGTGGTCATGGTGGCTCAGAGTCGCCGACCCTCGACGAGTGATCATCATCATGTGCGTGCCCCTCGGGGCGTACCAGTCCCCACTGGCTACCACCAGGCAATCGTATCTTGCGCTAGCCGCCACGCTGAGCGCAAGCCAAGGCCGTGGTGTCGAAGATCGGCCTCGATTGTGCGTGTCCACGTCAGCCGTGGTCTGCCCCGGGGGCGTCTCCGGTCCCGCGGTGGGCCCTCGACGATCGTGCGCAGGGCTCCGGCGTGATCTGTCGATGCGTCTGCCCGGGCAACGTGTCCTAAACGCCTCAAGTCTTCTGGCTCTGTTTCATGCGTTGCCGGGCATCCCGTGCTAAGGCGGACCACGGCATTGACCATGTGTTCACTGAAGTGGATGCGGAGTATCCGTCCATCGGCACCACTGGTCGAAGGCATCCAGCTAACAGTAGTATGGGAAGGATGTACGCATTGTATAGGCGAATCTTTGTTGCTGTTGTAATACTGGAGCACCAGATGTGTCTGTCGAGTTTTTTTCATGCATCTCGTCTGCCATTGAGATTCGCCTTTTAATTTATACATCGCTGCTTCCAGTGTGTTGCATTGTGCAGCCGCTGCTCATCAGTGGTCTGTATTTTTGTTTTAGCCCAATTCATTTCCAGGCCAAATGGGAAGGCTTCACTATGCATGATCTCCAGGGCTCGGAGGAAAACTTCAAGCATTTCAGTTAGCAAGGCAACGTCGTCTGCATAGTCCAGGTCGGTGAACACCTAATTGCCGAGGGTTACTCCCAGCAGGCCTTTGTGGACCGTGCAGTGGGACAAGTAAAACGTTCGGGGCAATATTTGCAGCCTTGCCTTCCTCCACTTTGGATGCTCAACCACTCGGACAACTCTTCGTCTACACGAATGCAACTAATCACATCTGTGTAGAGTTTCTTCATCAGATTCACGATCTTCTGTGGTAAACCAATGCCAAAAAGCTTTGCGGTTGACAGAGTCGAAAGCAGCCTTGAGGTCTACATAGGCACTTCTAAACGTCTATTTTTGGTTCTTGCCGGCAAAATTGTGGCGGGGCAGGAGAGTAGAGTGATGGCACGATAATTATTCCACTAATGTCTACTCAGTTTGCCCTTGTAAAAAGGCAGGATGATGCCTTTCTTCCATTCTGCTGGTCCCGAGCCCGTCTTCGACGTGTGCTGGAAGAGCCTTATTGACCATTTGATGACAGCTGGGCCTCCGGACTTCAACACTTCTGCCGAGAGGTTGCAAATTTCAGGTTTTCTGCTATTTTTCATTTTTTTCTGAGAGCAGCCATCACTTCTTCTTCCTAAGATGGCTCAGAGCAAGAGATCGTGCGATCTTCGTTGCTGTTGCTGCAGCAGCCTGTAAACGTTTTTCAGAGGGGGAATATCAGGGTGATTCAGCAGCTGAGAGTAGAATCATTTCCAGCGTGCTAGTTTCTGCCTCCTATCACTTACCAGGAGGCCGCTGCAGTCCATGATCGGGCAGGAAACCGCGAAATGAGTTCCCCGGAGCTGCCTGAAGTTTGCAAAGGCATCCTTGAATTGACCCTGAGCAAGTTCTTGCTCCGCTGCTGCAGCTTTCTTCTCTGCCCACCTCTGACGGTCACCCTGAATCTGGTTCTTGCATTACCTTCTCAGGTCCTTGTAGTCTTGGGCAGACCCTGCTAATTGTGCTTTGTTGTTTCCTGTCAATTAGGCTCCGTGTCTCGTCACTGATCCACTCTTTTTTGATATTGTTACGAGTTCCAAGGCAGGTATTGGCCACGTCGTTGACAGACTCTTGAAAATGGTTCCAATCTGTCAGCTTTTCGTTGGATAAGGTGGAAAATCGGTTGTTAATATCGACCGTGAATTTCTGTTCGAATGCCAGGTCTGAGAGTTTTTGTTATGTTGTATTAGGGTGATTTCTTGCTGAGGAATCGTTTGAGTCTGATACCGATGGTTGCGATAACGGGCGATGATTTGTGTCGATTCCAAACTCCGGTAAACTGTGCAATTTTGTAGAGCTTTCCATCTGGAGTTAATGAGTATATGGTCAATATCTTTATCTGTGTGGTCGTCGTTTGAAAACCAGGTAAGTCTGTAAATGTCATAGCGCTGGAACCAGGAGCCACACGTTCTAAGCCCATTTCCTGTTTCCTACTCGAGGCGCCTTTATGTGTGGAGTGTGCACGTTCTCCGCCTGTTCTGTAGAGTGTGAACCTTCAGGTGGGCCACTCTGAAAGAACATCTGTGCCGGTTTGAAACATTCAGGTTGACCTGTCTGCGATCCATCCTCGGTTCAACCAGGCTGGCTAGTGTGAGGAGCTTACACATCCTTGAAATATCTGGACACATTCCCATCATTGAACTCCTCCGGCAGGCAAGGCTGCGTTGGCTGAGTCATGTAGCCCACATGCCCAGCGACCGCATACGCAAGCAGCTTCTGTTCGAGCAGACAGGGGGCTAAACGGGTGCGGCACGGGCTGGAGAAGAGATGGGCTGATGTGGTATGGGAGGATGTGGAGCTGAGTAGCCTTGCCGAAACTGGTACCAGCGGTGTCAAGATCGGCCTCTGTAGGGGGGGGGGGCTCATGAAGGACGCTGCTGGGCAGTTGGAGGTAGCCACCTTCTTTCGTATGGCTGATGTAGATGCAGAGCAACAACTACAATTTCACATTCTGGTGGCCAAGCCAGATAACCGCGGTGACGTCTCCTTTGTATTTGGGGATCGGGCACAAATACGGTCTCTTCTGGATGACTGGAGAGTTTTTAAGTTTCCATTTGTGCCTCAGGTATCTGCATCTAATACCA